CCACCAGCTTAATAATAAAATGCAAAATTTCTCGGATGAAAACACAAGTAGTGATACAGTATGATTTGTGGCAGTCGGCTCTTAAAATTGCTATAAACACACTAATACTACTTTCTCAAAGAAAAATAAGCATAATACACACCACATATCAGGGTATTATTTGCAAGTTCACAGATCACACTTGAACCTACAGAAAACAGAGGATGCAAGAGCAGTTTAGTAAAGTGAACACTAATATTTCAAATATTGATAACGCCTTTGAAAAGCAAGTCTGGGTCTTGACTGGTAAACAGGAGACAGGTAATTCTGAACTCAAGATGTGCTGTACTAAATAAGGCTGACATTTTAAATCCTCCAAACACTAGTTAAACAGAAATGAAGAGGGAGTAAAGAGGTTAACGGATACTCACGGACTGCAGGTTGGACACAAAAATAGGAGATTGCGAGGTACTTGTATGTGCCAACGCAGGGATCAGTAAAGATTGTATGTGTCGCAAACACCTCACAACTTTCCAGTCCATTGCAGCTTTACATGTCAAAAAAAGGAGAGGTTTACATTAATCATTACTAAAGACAGTGAGGTACAGTAGAAGTTGCATACAGCATCCGTCTACCTTTTGGACACAGGAGCCAGTGCATTGGGTGAATAGCAGTTGGTGTTTTGGAGCCGTTCAGATGGACGTCCTTCAGAGCAGGTGATTTTATCTGTACGTCCATAGTTTGCAGCATTTATCTGTATCTTACCATTTTCTACATGGAGATAAAAAAAAATAATAAAAAAAGTATTGCTTATCTTTGTGATCTATTGATACTGTAGTTTTCACGTGAAAGAACACCCTTATAGGAATGCCCACCTGGAGGGCAAAACCAGGCATTGCTCCACTGACCGCCAGTTATTTTTACACGGCTTGCATTTAGTAATGTAGTAAAACGCTGATATTAAAAGGCGAAATTCAGTACACACCTTACTGATGATGCATACTTTGTGATGAGCCCCAGAGACGGATCCCTTCCAAAGACCTTGTCACCTAGACAGCCACCGGGACAAAACCACGGGAACCAGTCCTCTGCACAATCTGACTTCGTTGCAGCCTAGCATTAAACTGCTGGTTTCATCTGGCCAGAGGAGAACGGCACACTATTTCGACACACTATTTCCCCGTTTAATTCTGTAAAGCTTCTTTGACACAAACTGCATTGTAAAAAGCGCTACAATAATAATGGTGACTTGACTTGAATTTTTACAGGCAAGCAGATGAACCCAGAATACAAACAATGCGCAAAGTTACACATTAAATGGTTTCCATTAGAAAACCATTATAAAAGAAAACACGGAACCATTTAGCGCATTACGTTCATATTCCAGGCTCATCTGCTTGCCTATATAAAGTAAGCATAATCAAGGTGTGTACTGAATTTAATACATTAAGGCACTTTAAGTGTTTTTCACAACGTTTTGTCGCACTGTTTAGTGACTGAAATATAGCGGCGGGTGCATTTAATATGGCAGGGGTTCTCAAAGTCTACATTCAATGGCCCAAATCTGAATTTACATCAGCGTCAAAGGTCCGGACCGAAACAATCGGTTATTACAAAACTTGTTTTTTAATAAACTTACATAACATGCATAACAAATAAACACTAATTTAAAAAAATAATAATAAATAAAGTGCCCTTTGCATTCAAAATACTGTACATTAATAACAATTGCAAGAATGGCAAAACAGTTCATTTAAGTGTCAGCAATAGACGTTGACTAATATGGGGTTTTCTCTGGCCGATGCAGATATTTAGAAATCAGGGCAGCTGATGGCTGATATATGATGCCGATTCTTTTGTCCAATATGTTTGGCCGATTTTCTAGGGTACAAGATAGTAATAGCTAATAGTAGTTGTAGCCTAATTCATAGTAATAATACATGGCTCAAAACTTAAGCACCTTCTCAAAACAGTTCTGAAGCATGCTTTTTGTTTATGTTTGTTGAAAAACACCAGTTTCCCACAGACTTGCAAATGCAAATTAATTCTCTGCCAGCAGGAGTCGCTGTTGGAGCTGGAGATATAGCTGCTTGCCCGGTAACGCCTGTAATCAAATAAGCGCTGCTCACAAATGCTACTTTATCAGGTATTACAGGAAAGACGAAATGAAAATGACATCGAAGCTTTTTGATAGTTTTGATATAGTGGCGGGCCACCACAAATAACTCAATGTATGGGAAACACTTGGACACTGCTATAAGTCAAATGGCCGGCATAATCTAAGTAATAAAAAAAAAAATTCGAAACAAAAACCAAACCTTTCAATTAAACAAAACATCTTGCTGGACAAGTGTCTTTAACTAGGGCTTAGACTTAAAGGGGTCATAGGATGCACATTTTCCACAAGTTGATATGATTCTTTAGGGCAGGGATGGGCAACTTTGATAGTGACGAGGGCCAGCATTTTTTCTCTTTTATACCAAGGGGCCAGATTACTAATCCACGTCCACACACCTTTTACACCGTCTCACTCAACTTCCTTTTTATTGAAGGAAATTAAAGTATAACTAATGTAATTTGTTTTTAAAGATTTTATTAAGTATAAAACTTGTGCAGTTATGCTAATTCAGAAGCAAAACTTTGTTGTCAGTGGACAGAAATATTACCCGGACAAGCCAATGTAAACATTTCAATTGCATTGTCTGTAAATTTGCAACAAACAAATATACAGAGGTCCTTTTTTTATTAGTAGCCTACAGAACATTCTCAAAACAACC